AACACACACAGTGACACACACACAGTGACACACACACACAGTGACACACACAGTGACACACACACACACAGTGACACACACACAGTGACACACACAGTGACACACACACAGTGACACACACCAGTGACACACACAGTGACACACACACAGTGACACACACACAGTGACACACACAGTGACACACACACAGTGACACACACACACACCCACACACACACAGTGACACACACAGTGACACACACACAGTGACACACACAGTGACACACACACAGTGACACACACACAGTGACACACACACAGTGACACACACAGTGACACACACACACAGTGACACACACACAGTGACACACACACAGTGACACACACACAGTGACACACACACACACACAGTGACACACACACAGTGACACACACACAGTGACACACACACACAGTGACACACACACAGTGACACACACACACAGTGACACACACACAGTGACACACACACAGTGACACACACACAGTGACACACACAGTGACACACACACAGTGACACACACAGTGACACACACACAGTGACACACACACAGTGACACACACACAGTGACACACACACAGTGACACACACAGTGACACACACACAGTGACACACACACAGTGACACACACAGTGACACACACACAGTGACACACACACAGTGACACACACACACACAGTCACACACACACACAGTGACACACACACACACAGTGACACACACACAGTGACACACACACAGTGACACACACACAGTGACACACACACAGTGACACACACACACAGTGACACACACACAGACACACACACACAGTGACACACACACACACACACAGTGACACACACACAGTGACACACACACACACACAGTGACACACACACACAGTGACACACACACAGTGACACACACACAGTGACACACACACAGTGACACACACACAGTGACACACACAGTGACACACACACAGTGACACACACACAGTGACACACACACAGTGACACACACAGTGACACACACACAGTGACACACACACAGTGACACACACACAGTGACACACACACAGTGACACACACACACAGTGACACACACACAGTGACACACACAGTGACACACACACAGTGACACACACACACAGTGACACACACACACACAGTGACACACACACACACACAGTGACACACACACAGTGACACACACACACACAGTGACACACACACAGTGACACACACACAGTGACACACACACACACAGTGACACACACACAGTGACACACACACAGTGACACACAGACACACACAGTGACACACACACTCGCACACACACTCACACACAGAGTCACACACACACACAGTGACACACACACACACAGACACACAAACACACTCACACACACACAGAGTCACACACACACACACACAGTGACACACACAGTCACACACACACAGACAGTCACACACGGCTGTGCCAGGCGACCTGTTTGGTAGCCTGCAGCTTTTTCTGCAGGTGCTCGATCTGTGACACACACACAGTGACACACACACACAGTGACACACACACACAGTGACACACACACAGTGACACACACACAGTGACACACACAGTGACACACACACAGTGACACACACACACAGTGACACACACACACACAGTGACACACACACACACACAGTGACACACACACAGTGACACACACACACACAGTGACACACACACAGTGACACACACACAGTGACACACACACACACAGTGACACACACACAGTGACACACACACAGTGACACACAGACACACACAGTGACACACACACTCGCACACACACTCACACACAGAGTCACACACACACACACAGTGACACACACACACACAGACACACAAACACACTCACACACACACAGAGTCACACACACACACACACAGTGACACACACAGTCACACACACACAGACAGTCACACACGGCTGTGCCAGGCGACCTGTTTGGTAGCCTGCAGCTTTTTCTGCAGGTGCTCGATCTGTGACACACACACAGTGACACACACACACAGTGACACACACACACAGTGACACACACACAGTGACACACACACAGTGACACACACAGTGACACACACAGTGACACACACACAGTGACACACACACAGTGACACACACAGTGACACACACACAGTGACACTCACACACAGTGACACACACACAGTGACACACACACAGTGACACACACACAGTGACACACACACAGTGACACACACACAGTGACACACACATACAGTGACACACACACACACAGTGACACACACACAGAGTCACACACACACAGTGACACACACACAGTGACACACACACAGTGACACACACACAGTGACACACACACACAGTGACACACACACACACAGTGACACACACACAGTGACACACACACACACAGTGACACACACACACACACAGTGACACACACACACACAGTGACACACACACACAGAGTCACACACACACTGAGTCACACACAGTGACACACACACACACACAGTGACACACACACAGACACACACACAGTGACACACGGCTGTGCCAGGCGACCTGTTTGGTAGCCTGCAGCTTTTTCTGCAGGTGCTCGATCTGTGACACACACACAGTGACACACACAGTGACACACACACACTCACACACACACACAGACACCCACACACACTCACACACACACACACACAGACACACACTGAGTCACACACAGTGACACACACAGTGACACACACAGTGACACACACAGTGACACACACAGTGCCACACACACCCACACACACAGACACACACACACACAGACAGTGACACACACACAGTCACACACACACACAGTGACAGTGACACACGGCTGTGCCAGGCGACCTGTTTGGTAGCCTGCAGCTTTTTCTGCAGGTGCTCGATCTGTGACACACACACAGTGACACACACACACAGTGACACACACACACAGTGACACACACACAGTGACACACACACAGTGACACACACAGTGACACACACAGTGACACACACACAGTGACACACACACAGTGACACACACAGTGACACACACACAGTGACACTCACACACAGTGACACACACACAGTGACACACACAGTGACACACACACAGTGACACACACACAGTGACACACACAGTGACACACACACAGTGACACACACAGTGACACACACACAGTGACACACACACACACTCACACAGACACACACAGTGACACACACACAGACACACTCACACACACTCACACACACACACAGTCACACACAGTGACACACACACACTCACACACACTCACACACACACACAGTCACACACACACACAGTGACACACACACACACCCACACACACACACTCACACACACAGTGACACACACACAGTGACACACACACACACAGTGACACACACACAGACAGTCACACAGACACACACAGTGACAGTGACACACACACACAGTGACACACACAGTCACACACACACACACACAGTGACACACACACAGACACACACACACACACAGTGACACACACAGTGACACAGTGACAGTGACACACGGCTGTGCCAGGCGACCTGTTTGGTAGCCTGCAGCTTTTTCTGCAGGTGCTCGATCTGTGACACACACACAGTGACACACACACAGTGACACACACACACACAGTGACACACACACAGTGACACACACACAGAGACACACACACAGTGACACACACAGTGACACACACACACAGTGACACACACAGTGACACACACAGTGACACACACACACAGTGACACACACAGTGACACACACACAGTGACACACACACAGTGACACACACACACAGTGACACACACAGTGACACACACACAGTGACACACACACAGTGACACACACACAGTCACACACACAGTGACACACACACACACAGTGACACACACACAGTGACACACACACACTCACACACACAGTCACACACACAGTCACACACACACACACAGTGACACACACACAGACAGTCACACACACAGTGACAGTGACACACGGCTGTGCCAGGCGACCTGTTTGGTAGCCTGCAGCTTTTTCTGCAGGTGCTCGATCTGTGACACACACACAGTGACACACACACAGTGACACACACACACACACACAGTGACACACACACACAGTGACACACACACAGTGACACACACACAGTGACACACACACAGTGACACACACACAGTGACACACACACAGTGACACACACACACACAGTGACACACACACAGTGACACACACACAGAGACACACACACAGTGACACACACAGTCACACACACACACACACAGACAGTCACACACACAGTGACAGTGACACACGGCTGTGCCAGGCGACCTGTTTGGTAGCCTGCAGCTTTTTCTGCAGGTGCTCGATCTGCTCCTCGGCCACGCGGATCTTGCGGAGGGCGTCTTCCTCGGCAAGCTTACGGCTTTCCCGCCGCTCCCTCTCCTCCACCTCCCTCACCCGCAGCTTGAGCTCCTCCACCTGCGTCGTCGCCAGCCACCAGCGGCGGCGGCAGCAGCATCATCAGCATCATCATCAGCAGCATCATCATCATTAGCAGCAGCAGCATCATTAGCAGCAGCAGCATCATCATTATCATCATCAGCATCATCATCATTAGCAGCATCATCATCATTAGCAGCATCATCATCATTAGCAGCAGCAGCATCATCATTATCATCATCAGCATCTTCACCCCAGCAGCATCATCAGCAGCAGCATCATCATTATCATCATCAGCATCTTCACCCCAGCAGCATCATCAGCAGCAGCATCATCATTATCATCATCAGCATCTTCACCCCAGCAGCAGCATCAGCATCATCATCATTAGCAGCATCATCATCATTAGCAGCATCATCATCATTAGCAGCATCATCATCATTAGCAGCAGCAGCATCATCATTATCATCATCAGCATCTTCACCCCAGCAGCATCATCAGCAGCAGCATCATCATTATCATCATCAGCATCTTCACCCCAGCAGCAGCAGCAGCATCATCATCATTAGCAGCATCATCATCATTAGCAGCATCATCATCATCATTAGCAGCATCATCATCATTAGCAGCATCATCATCAGCAGCAGCAGTAGCAGCAGCATCATCATTATTAGCAGCATCATCATCATCAGCAGCATCATCATCATCAGCATCTTCACCAGCATCATCATTAGCAGCATCATCATCATTAGCAGCATCATCATCATCATTATCATCATCAGCATCTTCACCAGCAGCATCATCAGCAGCAGCATCATCATTATCATCATCAGCATCTTCACCCCAGCAGCAGCATCAGCATCATCATCATTAGCAGCATCATCATCATTAGCAGCATCATCATCATTAGCAGCAGCATCATCATTATCATCATCAGCATCTTCACCCCAGCAGCATCATCATCATTAGCAGCATCATCATCATTAGCAGCATCGGCAGCAGCAGCAGCAGCATCATCATCAGCAGCATCATCATCATTAGCAGCAGCAGCATCATTAGCAGCATCATCATCATCAGCAGCAGCAGCATCATTAGCAGCATCATCATCATTAGCAGCATCATCATCATTAGCAGCATCATCATCATTAGCAGCAGCATCATCATTAGCAGCATCATCATCATTAGCAGCATCATCATCATTAGCAGCATCATCATCATTAGCAGCATCATCATCATTAGCAGCATCATCATCATTAGCAGCATCATCATCAGCAGCAGCATCATTAGCAGCATCATCATCATTAGCAGCATCATCATCATTAGCAGCATCATCATCATTAGCAGCATCATCATCATTAGCAGCATCATCATCATTAGCAGCATCATCATCATTAGCAGCATCATCATCATCAGCAGCAGCAGCATCATTAGCAGCATCATCATCATTAGCAGCATCATCATCATTAGCAGCATCATCATCATTAGCAGCATCATCATCATTAGCAGTATCATCATCATCAGCAGCAGCAGCATCATTAGCAGCATCATCATCATTAGCAGCATCATCATCATTAGCAGCATCATCATCATTAGCAGCATCATCATCATTAGCAGCATCATCATCATTAGCAGCATCATCATCATTAGCAGCATCATCATCATTAGCAGCATCATCATCATTAGCAGCATCAGCAGCAGCAGTAGCAGCAGCAGCAGCATCATCTTCACCAGCAGCATCATCAGCAGCAGCATCATCATCAGCATCATCATCAGCAGCAGCAGCAGCATCATCATCAGCATCATCTTCACCAGCAGCATCATCATCATCAGACGCAGCAGCATCATCAGCAGCAGCAGCATCATCAGACGCAGCAGCAGCATCAGCAGCATCATCATCATCAGCAGCAGCAGCATCATCATCATCATCAGCAGCATCATCATCATCAACATTATCTTCATCATCATCATCATCAGCAGCATCATCATCATCATCACCACCAGCATCAGCAGCAGCATCATCATCATCATCAGACGCAGCAGCAGCATCATCATCATCATCACCAGCATCATCATCATCATCACCAGCATCATCATCAGCTGCTGCGCATGACGTTTGCCGTTGTGAGCGGTGCGCTAGGCTGCGGTTGATGGCGCGGGGTCTCACCTCCGCACGCGATCGCCTCTCAGCGGCCATGAGTGCCACCTTGTCACGCTGCTCCTTGGGTGCAGACTTGTACATGTCGAGGAGCAGCTTCATCTCACGCTGGCTCTCCTGTGCCTTTCTACACACAGACACACACAGACACACAGATACACACACACAGAGACACTTGTACATGTCGAGGAGCAGCTTCATCTCACGCTGGCTCTCCTGTGCCTTTCTACACACAGACACACACAGACACACAGATACACACACACACAGACACTTGTACATGTCGAGGAGCAGCTTCATCTCACGCTGGCTCTCCTGTGCCTTTCTACACACAGACACACACACAGAGACACACAGAGACACACACACAGATACACAGACACACAGACACACACACAGATACACACACACACAGAGACACACACACAGACACTTGTACATGTCGAGGAGCAGCTTCATCTCACGCTGGCTCTCCTGTGCCTTTCTACACACAGACACACACAGACACACAGATACACACACACAGAGACACTTGTACATGTCGAGGAGCAGCTTCATCTCACGCTGGCTCTCCTGTGCCTTTCTACACACAGACACACACACAGAGACACACAGAGACACACACACAGATACACAGACACACAGACACACACACAGATACACACACACACAGAGACACACACACAGACACTTGTACATGTCGAGGAGCAGCTTCATCTCACGCTGGCTCTCCTGTGCCTTTCTACACACACACAGACACACAGATACACAGACACACAGATACACACACACACACAGACACACACAGACACACACACACAGAGACACACACACACACAGACACTTGTACATGTCGAGGAGCAGCTTCATCTCACGCTGGCTCTCCTGTGCCTTTCTACACACAGACACACACACACAGATACACAGACAGATACACAGACACACACACAGACACACACACACAGACACACACACACACAGAGACACACACACACAGACACTTGTACATGTCGAGGAGCAGCTTCATCTCACGCTGGCTCTCCTGTGCCTTTCTACACAGATACAGACACACAGATACACACACACAGACACACACACACACACAGATACACAGACACACACAGACACACAGAGATACACACACACACAGACACTTGTACATGTCGAGGAGCAGCTTCATCTCACGCTGGCTCTCCTGTGCCTTTCTACACACAGACACACACACAGATACACACACAGACACACACAGATACAAACACAGATACACACACACAGAGATACACACACACACAGACACTTGTACATGTCGAGGAGCAGCTTCATCTCACGCTGGCTCTCCTGTGCCTTTCTACACACACACAGACAGACACACACAGACACACAGACAGATACACACACAGACACACACAGACACACAGATACACAGACAGATACACAGACACACACACAGACACACACACACACAGACACTTGTACATGTCGAGGAGCAGCTTCATCTCACGCTGGCTCTCCTGTGCCTTTCTACACACACACAGACACACACACACAGATACACACACAGACACACACAGATACAAACACAGATACACAGATACACAGACAGATACACAGACACACACACAGACACACACACACACAGACACTTGTACATGTCGAGGAGCAGCTTCATCTCACGCTGGCTCTCCTGTGCCTTTCTACACACACACAGACACACACACACAGATACACACACAGACACACACAGATACAAACACAGATACACACACACACAGACACTTGTACATGTCGAGGAGCAGCTTCATCTCACGCTGGCTCTCCTGTGCCTTTCTACACACACACAGACACACACAGACACACAGATACACACACACAGATACATACACACACAGACAACACACACACACACAGACACACAGAGATACACACACACACAGACACTTGTACATGTCGAGGAGCAGCTTCATCTCACGCTGGCTCTCCTGTGCCTTTCTACACACACACACACACACAGACACACACACAGATACACACACACACACAGACACACACAGAGACACACACACACACACAGACACACAGACATACAGACACACAGAGACACACACACACACAGACACTTGTACATGTCGAGGAGCAGCTTCATCTCACGCTGGCTCTCCTGTGCCTTTCTACACACAGACACACAGAGACAAACACACAGATACACAGACACAGACACACACACAGAGATACACACACACACAGACACTTGTACATGTCGAGGAGCAGCTTCATCTCACGCTGGCTCTCCTGTGCCTTTCTACACAGACACACAGACACACAGATACACACACACAGACACACACACACACACACAGATACACAGACACACACAGACACACAGAGATACACACACACACAGACACTTGTACATGTCGAGGAGCAGCTTCATCTCACGCTGGCTCTCCTGTGCCTTTCTACACACACACAGACACACAGACACACACACAGATACACACACACACACAGACACACACACACACACACAGACACACACACAGACACACAGACACACATACAGATACACAGAGACACACACACAGATACACACACAGAGACACACAGACACACACACACACTTGTACATGTCGAGGAGCAGCTTCATCTCACGCTGGCTCTCCTGTGCCTTTCTACACACACACAGACACACAGACACACACACAGATACACACACACACACACACAGACACACACACACACACACAGACACACACACACACACAGACACACATACAGATACACAGACAGATACACAGACACACACACAGAGACACACACACACACAGACACTTGTACATGTCGAGGAGCAGCTTCATCTCACGCTGGCTCTCCTGTGCCTTTCTACACACACACAGACACACACAGAGACACACACACAGATACACAGACACACACACACACAGACACAGAGACACACACACAGATACACAGACACACACACAGACACACACAGAGACACACACACACACACACAGACACTTGTACATGTCGAGGAGCAGCTTCATCTCACGCTGGCTCTCCTGTGCTTTTCTACAAACACACACAGACACACAGACAGACACAGAGACACACACAGACACACACACAGATACACACACAGAGATACACACACACACAGACACTTGTACATGTCGAGGAGCAGCTTCATCTCACGCTGACTCTCCTGTGCTTTTCTACACACAGACACAGAGACACACACACAGACACACAGACAGACACACACACAGACACACACAGACACACACACAGATACACAGACACACACACAGACACACACACACACACACAGATACACACACACAGACACACACAGAGACACACACACAGACACACACACACACAGATACACACACACACACAGACACAGACACACACACACAGACATACAGACATACAGACAGATACACACAGACACAGACACACACACAGACACAGAGACACACACAGACACACAGACACACACAGATATACACAACAACAACCGCCATTCGCCACTAAGTGGCGGTGACGTCACCACGACGCTTGTGCCAGGCTATGTGCACCCTGAGGCCACGTGAAGTGTCGAACGCCCGCTGGCAGGAGGTCACGGGGCAGACCCAGGTGCCACGGGTCGACTGACTGAGATGACTGGCTGATGCACCACCTGTGCCCCCTACTGTGCCAACCTGCTGTGCTTTAGCCACCCGGCGCTCCGCTCGTTGTTGTGAGCGTCGCTCCTCCGCCCTCCGTTGTTGTTGGAGGGCGACTGCCTCCAACTGCCCAGTAGCATCCTTCACGAGCCTCCTCCACAGAGGCCGATCTTGACACCGCTGGTACCAGTCATCGGCAAGTCCACTCAGCTCCACGTCCTCCTGTACCACATCACTCCATCTCTTCTCTAGCCCGTGCCGCGCCCGCTTAGCCCCCTCAATCCGGCCAAACAAAAGCTGTTTCGGCATGCGGTGGCTGGGCATGCGGGCTACATGACCCAGCCATCGCAGCCTTGCCCTGCCGGAGGAGCTCACCGATGGGACCGTGCCCAGATCTTTCAAGGATTTGTGAGCTCCTCACACAATCCAGTCTGGTTAAACCCAGGATGGATCGTAGGCAGGCCAGCATAAATGTTTCTAACCGGCGAAGATGTTCCATTAGGGGGGTCCACGTTTCGCAAGCGTAGAGAAGGGAGGGAATGACCGTGGCCGAGAAGACCTGAAGCTTAGTGCGGAGCGACAGACCAGGTAGCTTCCACACAGCGTTACGCAACCGATGAAAAGATATTGCCGCTCGACTGATTCGGAGTGAGACCTCTGCTGTTAAACTGGAGCCAGTCATAAGCACACTGCCCAGGTATGGGAAACTCTCCACTCTCTCCACAACTGCCCCATCACCGATTGGGAGTTGTGGGGGTGGAGTGTCCGATGGTACAAAATACCCAGGCAGGTGCTTAGTTTTGGTGGGGCTGATGGTAAGGCCCCACCTCTTAGTGGCACGCTCCAGTCTCAGCAGCAGCGTCTCCAACTCCTCCTCTGACTGAGCAGCTATTACCAAATCATCAGCATACATAACGTGGTTGAGCAATAGGGAGCCATCCCTTGACCGCACCCGGGCATCGATTAGCCTCCCATTATATCTGTACCATATGGAGATTCCCCCGGTACAGCTATTGAAGGCTTCACGAACTACGTGGTCAAAATAGATGTTAAATAATGTGGGAGCCAGAGGACATCCCTGTCACACCCCAAGGTGTACAGGGAATGGCTCTGACTCCCGGCCACGTAGTTTTACCCGGGCCCGCTCACCATCATGAAGGTCCTTAATGATCGTGAGCAGAGGGTCAGGTACTCCAAAAGCACGAAGAACGACCCAGAGCCCAGGCCTACTGATGGTATCATAGGCCTTGACCAGGTCAATAAAGCAGAGATGTAGGTCTTGTTGGAATTCCCTACACCTCTGCTGTAGCAGACGGACAGAAAATATAGCATCTGTGCAGGACCGCCCTTTCCTGAAACCGCATTGGGGCTCCGCAAGCCTCTCCTCAGCGTGCCTGGCAAGGCGATGCTGAATAATCCTTGCCAGGACCTTTCCCGGCACACTGAGGAGTGAGATGTCCCTGTAGTTGTTACAGTCTGTGCGGTCCCCCTTCTTAAAAAGGGGGACCACCAGGGCATCCTTCCAATCCTGCGGAACCCGTCCAGTGGTCCAGACTGTTGTTATGATGTCATATAGGGCAGTCTGTGCACAAACGCCACCCTCCCTCAGCATTTCGCTTGGGAGATCATCTCTGCCCGCTGCCTTTCCTGGTCTCAGACTCCGGATCGCCTTCAATACTTCCTCAGCAGATCGCACCTCAGCCAGCCACTCACAGGGGGTGACTTCATCCAATATTTGAGGCACCGCAGCCTCAGCAGGGTCATCCTCACTTTGTGCCACGATGGTTTCCTGGCTGAGGGATTTTCCCTTCCCCCAGGACCTCACAGAAATGCTCAGCAAATCTGCGAACCTGTTCCTGGGGGTCGGAAATTGGATCACCGTTTTTTCCCCTAATGATGGTAATAGGTGTGGCGCTGCAGGTTACTTTTTTGATGGAGTTAAATAGAGATTTGTGATCACGGGCCACTGAGGCAGACTCCATCTCCTCAGCAACCCGCGACCACCACCCATCCTTGCAGCGCCTCACGGCTCTCCGAACCTCCGAGCGAAGGCTGCGGTAAGCCTCCTCATTCTCTGACGCGGGATTCTGTAGCCGATGACAGTGGGCCTGTCGCTTTTTCTCAACCATCCTGAACAACTCCTCTGTCATCCAGGGTGTCTGGGGAGGTCTGGACCGCGTACCCAAAGCAGCCATTGCAGCTGCATGAGTCACAGTCCTAAACCTCGCCCATTTACCCTCGACATCAGGAGGAGTCGGGGACGATGCCAATCCCAGCCGCAAGCGATGATGAAATTCTCGCTTGCAACTTTCATCAGATAACTGAGACCAGGACACTTTAGGTTGGAATGGGGTCCTGGGTGTACACCCACCACCGGAGTGGAAGAATGGCAGGCGCATCTTACAGATGACTAGTCGATGGTCAGAGGGCAGATCAGCTGCACGGTAGGTCCTGGTGTCAAGGACATGGGCTCGCATTCGCTGGTCCGTCACTATGTAGTCCAGCAGATGTTCTTGCTTGGACCCGGCATGCATCCATGATGTCGTGTGGATGCGCCGATGCCGGAACAGCGTGTTGGTAATTACAAGCCCATGGGCTGCACAAAAATCTAGTAGCCTCCTACCGTTGTTATTGAGCTGATCTGGCCCATGCCCTCCAATCACTCCAGACCAGGTGCCAGTATCATGACCAACTCGGGCATTGAAGTCACCCAACATGATGACTCTATCCCGAGGGGCCACTTTAGCCAGCACCTGTGACAGGAGGTCATAGAAGGCATCTGACTCATCGGCTTTGCCTGCATCCCTCCACGGATGTTCATCTTCGGTGGGGGCATAAGTAACCACGACCACCATTCCTCGCCTCCGGTTGATGGGAAGGCGAGCCCAAAGTAGCCTGGGGCTTACAGCTTCCCACACCTCACCGCCACGCTCCCACGCCCCCTTCATTCTTTTGTTCAAAAGAAGACCCACACCCTGTTGTTTGGCAGTCTGCTGCCCCGAGTAGAGGACTGTCCACCCCTCATGGTGGCAGGAGCCAGAGCCGGTCCACCGGACCTCCTGAATGCCGCATAGATCCAGGCGGTACCGGTCCAGCTCCCGACAGAGGAGTGGCAGCCTCTCCTCTGCAGTGAGCGTTCGAACATTCCACGTGGCCACCCGTAGTGGCTTTTCGTTGTTTCTGGAGTAGCCCCGAGGGTAGGTATTCAATCTCCTGGCTCCGCCAATTGGGGTTTGGCCAGGAGACGTCATAGACGCCTGGCCCCCCGGGGCCTCCGGCACAAGCTTAGTTGTTACATATTTCAGTTTAATTCGTGGTTTCGTGGTAATTAATTGAAGGTGGAGGGGTTACCAGCCCCTCGCACCCGTCCAGAGCCCCCGTTTAGCCCCTGTGGTGGACACATATGCCATGAGGGGAGGAGCCAATCAAAATTGGATCTCCCCCCACAGCGCTGTCCATGACAGAGTTGCCCGTCCGACACAGACACACACACACACACAGACATACAGACACACACACACAGACACACAGATACACACACACAGACACACACACACAGACAGATACAGACACACACACACACAGACACACACACACAGATACACAGACACACACACAGACACACACACACAGACACACACAGACACACACACACAGACACACACAGACACAGACACACACACAGATACACACAACAACCAACAACAACCGCCATTCGCCACTAAGTGGCGGTGACGTCACCACGACGCTTGTGCCAGGCTATGTGCACCCTGAGGCCACGTGAAGTGTCGAACGCCCGCTGGCAGGAGGTCACGGGGCAGACCCAGCAGGTGCCACGGGTCGACTGACTGAGATGACTGAGATGACTGGCTGATGCACCACCTGTGCCCCATACTGTGCCAACCTGCTGTGCTTTAGCCACCCGGCGCTCCGCTCGTTGTTGTGAGCGTCGCTCCTCCACCCTCCGTTGTTGTTGGAGGGCGACTGCCTCCAACTGCCCAGTAGCAGCGTCCTTCACGAGCCTCCTCCACAGAGGCCGATCTTGACACCGCTGGTACCGGTCATCGGCAAGTCCACTCAGCTCCACGTCCTCCTGTACCACATCACT